GCCTGACAGTTTCTGAAAGCCTTGTTTAAAACATAAACCTTTTCATTGAGATATTTGAGCAAATGCAATGTAGACACTGTTTATGGTACAAGTTATATATAATGCTCAGCAGGTCGTCTTCTGATGTTGTCTTTCCATGATGATCTGGATGGAGGAAGCTTGACAGGAATGTAGTAGTGCTTGCAGTGATAACTCCTGCAAGTCTGGCACAGTCATGGCAACACAGTCACTTGAGATTTGTTCACTTCTACATAGGCTAGGTTGATCAAAGAGCAATGAAACATAATTAGTTACCAGGCTACATTAATTGATTACTTAAATGTGTATTTCAGTAATTACTTTTACAAACGTGTATTTCTATACAGTAATTAATTATAAACATATAGGTGTGATTCGTATCTAAGACTACCATCATCATCAGTTCTCGTTATGCCTAGTGGCACATGAGGCTTCAGAGAGGACTTTCCATGCTTTCCTGTCCTGTGCAATCTTCAATGCAGTTTTCTGTGTCAAAGATGCCGCACTCAGGTCACTTTCCATCGTTCGTCTCCAAGTTGTTTTTGGGCGCCCGTTTTCTCTTTTTGGTGTCCATGTGAGAGCTGTTTTGGCATGTATATCAGAAGTCATTCTCATAACTTGGCCAAGCCATTTCCATCTTCTCTTGGTAATCATACTGTCTAAAGTTTCTTGGTTTGTGGTTTGAAGTAGTTTAGTGTTTGAGATTGTATCTGGCCAGAAAATTTTGATAATTCTACGTAGACATGTGTGGTGGAAGGTGGACAGCTTGTGTGCATCCTTTTTGGTCATTCTCCAGCATTCCGCTCCATAGAGAAGAACTGGCAAAATGATGCTCTTGTAGAGTCGGAGTTTCGTTCCTCTGCAGTAATTGTTGGATTTCCAGATTTGCCTCATCCTTCCAAAAGCAGCTCTAGCTTTGTTCAGACATGACTGTATGTCTTCTTTTGCCCCTCCCAGTAGGGACACCACACTGCCAAGATACGTGAAATGTTCTACATTTTCAAGTGATTGGTTACTTATGGTCACTGGTTGTTGGTTTGGACTGTTTGTCATGATCTTAGTTTTTTTTTGTATTCATTCTCAGTTCCCACCATTTCTGCTGTGCAGTTTAGTCTGTTACTTTTCTCTTGTATATGTTCATGTTTATGTGATAGGAGTGCTATATTATCTGCAAAATCAAGGTCCTCAAGCATGGTGAATAGATTCCATCGTATGCCTCTTAATGTCCTGTCTACTGTGTTCTTTAGTATCCAATCAATCACAAGGTTGAAGTGGAGAGATGACATAACACATCACTGTCTTACACCCGCCTACCATAACCATTATTATAAACACAGCCTGTTTCAGTCTGGACACGCCCATTGCTGTCTGGCCTTTCTTTGCATTTATAAAGGTGAATGCTAACTGTCCCCACAGGATATGTGTGTGATTATCATTTTTAAAGAAAGATTAACTCTTTGAGTCCCAGAGAGTTTAGCATCACAGGCCCAATGGGTAGTCAAAAGAGACTAAAATCAGCGCATCATGCGTTCATTGGGCTTCTAGGCAGTAACCTATGAACGTATGATGCGTTCCTTGGGACTCAAAGAGTTAAGATTAGAGTTGAAAAATTAATTCACAAAAACTCAAAAGGAAACAAAAAAAATGACACCACTCCACTTAGGAAAAGTCTATCAAGTGCTTGGTATTTCCTAGCAGAATATGAAGTGCATAAATGCTGACTGTAGATATTTTTCTTCATCTATTCCTTTTTTCTTTGAATTATCAGGGTATAAATATTATAAAAATATAAATAAAGCTGGAATAAAGTCTTGATGAAAACTTGTTTATGCCATATACACTAGTCTCTCCATGTCTATATTGCATGTGTGATTCCACTTTTGTGTGTGTGTGTGATGCATTGTTTCCTCTTGTCAGCTATTGTATTATGGTTTAAAAAAAATTTATTTAACAGGATGCTACCAAGAGCTGAAATCAACACCATTCACTTCAATTTGAGGTGAAAAGTCACACATTCACACACAAAACAGCCACCAATATACAGTTATGAAACAAAGTAAAAATAAAAAATGTGTACAACTTTTTGTAAACACCACCAGAAATGAGCTTTCCTATCTCTGAACTGAGGGTGCAACGGCTAACTCACTTGCCTGATAGTCCATCAAAATAATCTGGTCCAGCAGACAGACTCAGCTTAAAAATAGGTACCAGTAATGTTCTGGGAAGTAAAGGTGGTCAGTGTTCTTTCCCCACTGACTGACGACTGGCCTATAAAAACAGAGTTGGCACCACACACCTAATGTGCTTCAAGATATGGAAGGGGTTCTTCACTCACTGACCTCAGAACTGATCGAAGTGGTCTAAACTGTCGTTTGTAAAAACAAAACAAACAAGATCACTTAGAATATGTTTAATAATTATGTAATAATGTTTACTAAGCTTTGATCATCAGAACTGAGCTCTCATGTGACCATTTCATATAATTTTGTTGACCACATACAGCCATCTTTTAACAGCTGTAACTTTTTCCAAGTATCTGTTCATTGTATCTGTCTGATTGTTCTATTTCTCAACTGTATCTGTCTGACTGTTCTACATCTCAATTGTATATGTCTGACTATTCTACATCTCCACTGTATCTGTCTAACTGTTCTACATCTCCACTGTATCTGTGTGACTGTTCTACATCTCCACTGTATCTGTGTGACTGTTCTACATCTCCACTGTATCTGTGTGACTGTTCTACATCTCCACTGTATCTGTGTGACTGTTCTACATCTCCACTGTATCTGTGTGACTGTTCTGCATCTCCACTGTATCTGTGTGACTGTTCTACATCTCCACTGTATCTGTCTCACTGTTCTACATCTCCACTGTATCTGTCTCACTGTTCTACATCTCAGTTGTATCTGTATGACTGTTCTATATCTCCACTGTATCTGTCTGTTCTACATCTCAACTGTATCTGTCTGACTGTTCTACATCTCCATTGTATCTGTCTGACTGTTCTACATCTCAGTTGTATCTGTCTGACTGTTCTACATCTCCATTGTATCTGTCTGACTGTTCTACATCTCCACTGTATCTGTCTGACTGTTCTACATCTCCACTGTGTCTGACTGTTCTACATCTCAATTGTATCTGTCTGACTGTTCTACATTTCAACTGTATTTGTCTGACTGTTCTACATCTCCACTGTATATGTCTGACTGTTCTACATCTCCATTGTATCTGTCTGACAGTTCTACATCTCCACTGTGTCTGTCTGACTGTTCTACATCTCCACTTATCTGTCTGCCTGTTCTACATCCCCATTGTATTTGTCCGATTGTTCTACATCTCTATTAAATCTGTCTGACTGTTCTACATCTCCATTGTATCTGTCTGACTGTTCTACATCTCCACTGTATCTGTCTGACTGTTCTACATCTCCACTGTATCTGTCTGACTGTTCTACATCTCCATTGTATCTGTCTGACTGTTCTACATCTCCATTGTATCTGTCTGACTGTTCTACATCTCCATTGTATCTGTCTGACTGTTCTACATCTCCACTGTATCTGTCTGACTGTTCTACATCTCTATTGTATCTGTCTGACAGTTCTACATCTCTATTGTATTTGTCTGACTGTTCTACATCTCCATTGTATCTGTCTGACTGTTCTACATCTCCACTGTATCTGTCTGTTCTACATCTCTGTTGTATCAGTCTGACTGTTCGACATCCCCACTGTATCTGTCTGTTCTACATCTCTGTTGTATCAGTCTGACTGTTCGACATCCCGACTGTATCTGTCTGACTGTTCTACATCTCCACTGTATCTGCCTGACTGTTCTACATCTCCACTGTATCTGTCTGACTGTTCTACATCTCCACTGTATCTGTCTGACTGTTCTACATCTCTATTGTATCTGTCTGACTGTTCTACATCTCTATTGTATTTGTCTGACTGTTCTACATCTCCATTGTATCTGTCTGACTGTTCTACATCTCCACTGTATCTGTCTGTTCTACATCTCTGTTGTATCAGTCTGACTGTTCGACATCCCCACTGTATCTGTCTGACTGTTCTACATCTCCACTGTATCTGTCTGACTGTTCTACATCTCCACTTTATCTGCCTGACTGTTCTACATCTCCACTGTATCTGTCTGACTTATCTAAGTCTCCATTGTATCTGTCTGACTGTTCTACATCTCCACTGTATCTTTCTGACTGTTCTGCATCTCCATTATATCTTTTTGACTGTTCTACATCTCTATTGTATCTGTCTGACTGTTCTACATCTCTATTGTATCTGTCTGACTGTTCTACATTTGCAGGTTGCTACCCACTTGGCTGACAAGTCATGAAAACGTGGCAAATCCTAGATACTCAAAATAGCCTTTAAAAAAGTTATAATTGGGGCACCAGTGATGGCTACATCAATGACACTCTGATGAACCCTGTGGTCCTGCCTGTGGACCACTCTGATGAACCCTGTGGTCCTGCGTGTGGACCACTCTGATGAACCCTGTGGTCCTGCCTGTGGACCACTCTGATGAACCATGTGGTCCTGCCTGTGACCACTCTGATGAACCCTGTGGTCCTGCCTGTGGACCACTCTGATGAACCCTATGGTCCTGCCTGTGACCACTCTGATGAACCCTGTGGTCCTGCCTGTGGACCACTCTGATGAACCCTGTGGTCCTGCCTGTGGACCACTCTGATGAACCCTGTGGTCCTGCATGGGGACCACTCTGATGAACCCTGTGGTCCTGCATGTGGACCACTCTGATGAACCCTGTGGTCCTGCCTGTGACCACTCTGATGAACCCTGTGGTCCTGCATGGTTAAGGATGGTTGTGATATTCATTGTGTATTCAAATATTAGCAACATAAGTCAGCTAGTTAGGGTCAAGATGAGGTCAGGATCTGTTGTGCTAGATACTTACCCTAAGAAAGATGTACTATTTGCAGCATGGACTGAGACAGCCCTGACCTAAAATCTTGGCACACTATGAGGATTTCCTGCAACTATTAAAATAAAGGGAAAATGCATTACAAAGCGATACAATACAGGGATAATTCACAAGTTAAAGCCCACACACACACACGCATGCACACACACACAAACACACACGCATGCACACAAATCCAGGCACAATCTGATTAGAAAACTTGTGTGTCCTTGTCCTTGCAGAATTTTTTTTTTTTAAAGTTAAATAACAATTTTATAGTTTAGCTTCTCTTCGAGATGCCTTATTGACAAGTGTGAGTGGCAAGTTTAAATGAAACTGTAATGTGTTACTCATAAAATACTCATGATGACTTGACAGTGTGATATGTTCATCTTGACAGTGTGATATGTTCATCTTGACAGTGTGATATGTTCATGACCTAAAAACAGAATGCAGCATTATGGCCTGCATGTCCTATAATCACATGACTTCTTTATCTAAAAAAATCAGGCCCCATCGTCACATTACATTTGATCCAGTTTTAGAGGATCACACTATGGCTTCCATTAACACAATGGCTAAATAAAACCCCACAGTTACAGAAAATATTGACAAGGTTTCTGAGAATCACACTGGGAACCATGCCTGTGCAGAATACAATGGCTGAAACAGAGTAGTGTTGAATGATTGGTTTGGAGCTGTGGGAGAGAGCTAAATAAGCTCCACTGAATTCAAGGTAAGGAAAGGATGCAGGCACTGGATAGGACAAATATAGAAAAAAACCTGATAATAATATAATCAGAATGTCCTTACAATGGAACCCACAGGGTCTAAGAAATAAACGGAGACCAAGAAACACATGGAGTAGAGAATTAGTTGTAGGAAAAGGATCAGGACGGCATGTTGTGAGCTGCATACAATGCCACAGGATAGGATGGCCTTACATGAGTTGGTCCAGGCTATATGCCCATTTGGAGATACAGGCCTTAAAAAAAAAAAAAAAAAGACAGTTCATCAATCAAGTTCTACATTCATCATGAACAGAATGTAAAAGGACAAAACAAAATCTTCTTATCTTCTTCTGACTGTTTATGCAATGTGGTGCTGGAGTCATGTTTATCCCCAACCCTCTGTCTTGTGTACTTTCAATAATCTGACACCCAAATGGTTTTCCATGCCATGATGTCAAACTGTCCAGGATATTTGTTCTCAGTCTCTGCCTCTCTTCTTCAACTTTCCCGCCATCAGCATGTAGTCCAGTTTTCTCCTTCTCATGACATGACAAAAGTTTGTAGATTGTCTCCTTCTGATGTGGGCAATCAGTTCTCTTCGTGAGTTAGTTTCATTAGATAATAAGTCGCCCCTTGTGGGATGCAATTTTAAGTTATTTTGAAGCCCCACCCTGGCTTTTGCCAGGGGCCCTAAATATAGCCGGGCCATAACAAGGTTTACGGTACCTCTCCAAGGGTGATCCTCATCCGCATGGTGGCACTTTGTGTCCTCGGGTGTTTATCACTTGTGTGATGTCCTGGTGGGGTACAACTTATATACCTAGTTTCTTTCAAGACACCATTATTCTTGACATCTTCATTATTCTTATCTACCACAGTATTCTCACAACTCGTCTATGAAACCAACCACATCCCTGGCTTCCATATTTTGTGTCACTATCAGCCAGCTGTCCACAATTCACTTCTGTATATCAGGATAGGCTTTTTATAGCTCTGAAGAATTTTTTCTTGCCTCAGTTGACAAAGATTGCATTGAATGTTCTTAATTTTATCAGAAAGAGACATTTCAATTTTTTATAAGGCCATTTTATAATGCAAGTATATATAAACTGCAACAGAATTGTTTTCCAAAACATAAAGGGAAAACCTCAAAGTAATGAAATATACTCACAGGTCATTGGCATGTAGGATGCCGGCTGTTGTAATTGCTGTAACTGTTGTAATTGCATCAAGGAAGCAGGCTGGAGTGGGGACATCAAAGGATTGGTCTGGTAAACAGGGTAGCCACCTTTAGTGAAATCCCCAACAGCTATTCTTTTATATGCTGGAACCATGCCAGGTATAGTGCTGTGCTGTAACCATGTACACATGTGTTGAAGTTTGGTGATGTAATCCAGAATTGCATTCACAACATGGTTCATCAATGGATGGTTAGATTCGAGAGTTTGATGATGCATGTCGATGACACCAAGGGGCAGGATGAGGTGACAATAAACAAGAGAATAAAAATACATTATTAATGTATGGCTCATATTACTTTGAACTAATAATAATCACATAAATAACATACTATTAACAAACCTAGATAAAACAGTAATAATATGATTCACAATAAGAGAAACTCAACATGAATACCTCACAAGAAGTTGTGACTGTCACTATATAATATCAATAATGTAAAGAATATTCTAAGAAAAAAAAATGTAAAACAAAGTTCTGAAGTAGTTAGTTAGAAGCAATAATAGTATAAACAATTCTATAATTAGTCAACGAAACAAATAACACAGCAGGGTGATTAAATTTGAACACCATGATGATGTAAATAACAATCAGAATTAAAACTGGGGCCAAATCAGTCTCAGGAAATGGGAATCAAAGATCAAGAAAAGGAAAGGTCACCCGTAAAATAATGACAGTTACATCTGGTATATTCAATCCTGTTCATTAGATTATCTCACCATGATACTAGTCTTTGAAATGAATGTTCTAATAGCTTCGGTTTGTCAGATCAATAGTTCAAATTATGTTTTCATTTCACTGCTTATGCCATCTCCCCTTACAGTGCCACTTGATACAGCCACCTCTCTGTATGATAACATGACATGGCCCTGGGTATAATATATTGTTTGGTCACTGAAAACTATGGAACTAATAGCATACAAGCTTCACTGGGATGCTAACATATTTCTTTTAACTGAACAAATATTGACAAAATGAAAATTCTTTGACAGATGTTAGTACACAAACAGAATCATGGTGGTGCAGCAGAATCCACAGATGAAATTCCAAACAAGAACCACATTCCAAGCAAGAACCACATTCCAGTAGAACAGGGCAAGAACCACATTCCAGTAGAACAGGGCAAGAACCACATTCCAGTAGAACAGGACAAGAACCACATTTCAGTAGAACAGGGCAAGAACCACATTCCAGTAGAACAGGGCAAGAAACCATTCATTTCAGTAAGAACAGGGCAAGAACCACATTTCAGAGACAGGGCAAGAACCACATTTCAGTAGAACAGGGCAAGAACCACATTTCAGTAGAACAGGACAAGAACCACATTTCAGTAGAACAGGACAAGAACCACATTTCAGTAGAACAGGACAAGAACCACATTTCAGTAGAACAGGACAAGAACCACATTTCAGTAGAACAGGGCAAGAACCACATTTCAGTAGAACAGGGCAAGAACCACATTTCAGTAGAACAGGGCAAGAACCACATTTTAGTAGAACAGGGCAAGAACCACATTTCAGTAGAACAGAACCACATTCCAGGAACAGGGCAAGAACCACATTTCAGTATAAAACAGTTCCAGTAGAACAGGGCAAGAACCACATTCAAGTAGAACAGGGCAAGAACCACATTTCAGTAGAACAGGGAACCACATTCCAGTAGAACAAGAACCACATTTCAGTAGAACAGGGCAAGTAGAACAGGGCAAGAACCACATTTCAGTAGAACAGGGCAAAAAACACATTTCAGTAGAACAGGGCAAGAACCACATTCCAGTAGAACAGGACAAGAACCACAAGAACAAGAACCACATTCCAGTAGAACAGGGCAAGAACCACATTTCAGTAGAACAGGGCAAACATTCCAGAACCACATTCCAGTAGAACAGGGCACAAGAACCACATTCCAGTAGAACAGGCAAGAACCACATTCCAGTAGAACAGGGCAAGAACCACATTCCAGTAGAACAGGGCACAAGAACCACATTCCAGTCAGGGCAAGAACCACATTCCAGTAGAACAGGGCAAGAACCACATTCCAGTAGAACAGGACAAGAACCACATTTCAGTAGAACAGGACAAGAACCACATTTCAGTAGAACAGGACAAGAACCACATTTCAGTAGAACAGGACAAGAACCACATTTCAGTAGAACAGGGCAAGAACCACATTTCAGTAGAACAGTAGAACACATTCCAGTAGACAAGAACCACATTTCAGTAGAACAGGACAAGAACCACATTTCAGTAGAACAGGACAAGAACCACATTTCAGTAGAACAGGACAAGAACCACATTCCAGTAGAACAGGACAAGAACCACATTTCAGTAGAACAGGGCAAGAACCACATTTCAGTAGAACAGGGCAAGAACCACATTCCAGTAGAACAGGACAAGAACCACATTCCAGTAGAACAGGGCAAGAACCACATTTCAGTAGAACAGGGCAAGAACCACATTTCAGTAGAACAGGGCAAGAACCACATTTCAGTAGAACAGGACAAGAACCACATTTCAGTAGAACAGGACAAGAACCACATTCCAGTAGAACAGGACAATAACCACATTCCAGTAGAACAGGACAAGAACCACATTCCAGTAGAACAGGACAAGAACCACATTTCAGTAGAACAGGACAAGAACTACATTTCAGTAGAACAGGACAAGAACCACATTTCAGTAGAACAGGACAAGAACCACATTTCAGTAGAACAGGGCAAGAACCACATTTTAGTAGAACAGGGCAAGAACCACATTCCAGAAGAACAGGGCAAGAACCACATTCCAGTAGAACAGGACAAGAACCACATTCCAGTAGAACAGGACAAGAACCACATTCCAGTAGAACAGGTGTTCTCAATAAACAGTTTTTGGTGGAAAACTATATATAGACAAAATGAAACATGCAAAACAAGAGGAAGGCCTGAAAACAGCTTGAATGTGTGAAAAAGGACTAAAATATTCAGCTGGCTTGGCTTCACATTCTAATCAGAGAAAATGAAGACAGCTGAAGAATATTAGGACCTGGCTTATTACTATGCTTAGCACACCTGATAGTTGACCACCTGACAGTTGACCAGGTGTTTTATACTCAAGTTCCCTTTGAAATGGTTTTTGTTATTGAGTGACCATTTTCTTTCAGGTCATCCTATAGTGAAATAGTTACCAGGAATTGTGAACGAAGTAAAGGCGATGATCAACATCATCGAGACACCTGCAGAGTACCAGTGAATCTAATATTATGGTTCTAGCTTCATAGATCCAATATGCATCATAGCATGAAAAGATGTTCATTGCATCCCTCCATACAACTTTTAGGAGTATTATGCTAAGAAAAATATTAACTGAAGTGTGTGTATGTGTATATTTAAAATCTGTGTGTCTTCTACTTTTCTCTACTCCTGGAATGCCTCATGGCATCAGGGCAGGAAGAGATCTCTGAAAAAGGCTGTTCTGTACACAGATGGTCTGTTGTACGAGGACAATAAAGTGCATGGGCATTTGCCCTGTGCTCTGCAGGCAGAACAGTCCAAGAGGACAGTGGTGCCTTCTTTATGACTACTAGTAGTATGACAATGAAGGTGATGACAGCAACACGAGCTTTCATGTGGCTAGCATCGCAGAGCTGTTTTCACTTGTGTGTGTGATGAGTGATTCCATGATTTGGTGGGTCGAGGCAGGCTTTGTACGAAGACAGGGGATCGAGTCATTGCAAAACTCCACTGTGCATGGAGATAGTAACCTTCATCTTTGTATCAGGGTATGCGGGTGTTGCTGGCAATGAAAGAGCCGACAGATTAGCCGCTCTGCTTTGGTTACAGAGGGCCAGCCCATAGATCATGCCGACATTGTTAATGCCATTAAAGAGGTAGGACGTTCAGAGGATTTTGGGAGCAGCACTTCCATATCTTTGCTAAGAATGAAAGAATTGGGAGTAAAGATCTGCACAGTCAGGCCCGAGAAGCACACTGATGCACAAAAAGTCTTGTCAACCAGCAGAGGACTGGAACTATCAGCCACAGGATGCTGATGTATATGTTGAAGGGGGAATCAGTCTGATTTAAATCTGAACTGTTGATAGCATGTTTTCCCTAATTTTTCTGATAGTGTGGCAAAGTAGAATATCAGCCCCAAAATAATTTTGCAGAAATTAGGAGGAAGAAAAAAAAAACAGATCATTAAACTACAGCTTTGTTTAAAAAAAAAAAATTATTTGTTGTTCCATTCTGAAAATGGACTTTTCTTCCTACAGGCTTTTCTATGTTTTTTTTTTTTTTCTTAAGAGGAACAATATAATTTAAATGTTGTTAACAAAAATAAATAATAATTTCAGAGAAGAATTAAAAAAGAATTAAAAAAAATAAAAAGCTGCAATACTATAAAAAGCTTTAGTGGGCAAAAGAATTGAAAGAAATGAAACTTCACATTTTGTAACCCGCTCCATAAGCATTTACTGTTCAATGGTGCTGATTTGGTACAAAAACATCCAAGCGATCACTAACAGCATTCCAGGGACATTTGCACATGAAGAAGTATTAATACAAATAAGCTCAGAAAGTTCTTAAGAGGAGAAAGGCTATCTATCAGTTTTAGTTAAGTTCTTGCAATAAATGTCTAAACGTGTTCTTATTTCTTAGACAATGCATATTCTAAATGTAAATATATGCAAGAAACAATATTTTAATGACTTAAAAATGATCAATGATGTTACACATAGAGAGCTTTCTGTGTCCAACAATTTTTAGTTGCTTTTCACTGCCCAACATAAACTGGCCAAACTAGTATTGGAAATTTTGTTGGCTGTCCACAATTCACATCACAGTGAGGACATCAATAATTATTTTTTTTTTTTAAATTACAAGTTTTAAGAGGAAAATAAGACTATCTAAAGCATTTAAAGCCAACAGCTTAACTTAGAAAGCAATCATGCAAGAGAAAATAGGAATTTTGTGAATTTGTAAAATAAAGTAGGAAAAAATAAATCAATAAAATAATTGTTGAAAGCCATTTTAAATTTGATAAGGATTTTACTGCAAAAAAAAAAACAACAACATTAATTTGGCCAAACTGATAATTGTAGGGAAGAATGCTCTCTATGGGCCACATGCAAAGCA